GCTTCTGTCACACAGTGGGAGGGGGAAAATGCCAGGCTGGGGTCCAGTTCCCTGGCCTCTGACCCTGGCAGAGAAGATGGTATGGCCTTCTTGGTAACACCCTCGGGGCAGAGGTGAGGATGGGGCCAGAGGGCAGAAGCCTCCAGATTGCTGGTCAACCTCTTCTCCCCACAATGTCCTGCCCTGCTCTGCCTCAGCACCTCTTTTCTCCCTCATCACCTAATATTACCCACCTCCCAGTCTGCTTTCCTGGCCTCACTTCTGGGTCATTAGATGGGCAGCAGGGGAGGGAGGAAGTGACCGGGTGGCCATGGCTCCTGGAGGGGAGGCCCAGAGAGGAGACGCCCCCGTGGGCACTGGAGCAGGAGACTGACCCTGACCCTCCTGGGTCTTCATGTTGCCCACCGGCCCCCTTCTTAGTCTTGATACTCTAGAGGTGACTCAGCCTGGAGGTGCCACCCCCAGTCCTAGGTCTAGAGTAGGAACCAGCCAGAGAAGACGAAGATGCTACCTGGTGAGCGCTGGGGTTTTCTGGGTTCCTGACTCACCCATCCAGCAAGTTAGATTTCCCTGCATTGCAATAAGGATCAGACATAATGGTGCGTGGCCTGGGCCAGTGTCTGCTGCACACAATATTCCCTAAGTGTTCTTCATGTCCTCTGTATCTGGAACCTCAGCAGCAAAAAAGGAAAAAAAAAAAGGCATTAATAAGCCTCACTGTCAAATTAACTCTGTTTCCTAAGGGCCTTGCGCCCTTTCTGCGTGGCCCTGGCTCCCAAATCAGACCCTCCCGGGCCCACCCAGAGGAGCATTGTGCTGTGTCAGAGAGAAGGAATCAAGGTGTTCATGAAACACATGAGCCAGGGGTTGTGTCACCCACTCTGAGTCCCCGAGCCTGCTCAGGGCAGGTCCCTGAGAGCACTAAAAAGTCCCGTAAAATCCAAGGAGGGCTCCGGGACCCCACTTTCCGTCTGCCTGGATGGATAGTGAACCCGCCCTGCGCCTGCTCGCACAGCCCTGTCTAAGGAGCAGCAGCCGGGCTCAGACACTCAATACGCTGGGTTTGTGCAGCTTTGCATGTGGGCCCCCAGGGAGAAGCCCTGGACAGCTGTCCCCTCACTGCACCCTGTCGCCACAGCTGGCCGCTAACAATCTTTCCCACAATCTGTTTTTGTTCCCCGAGGTTGAAGAGACACGTCCCCGCAGCCTGGACGCCGACTGCTGAGCTGTCAGGAAACAGATCCCGTTCCCAGCACCATGAACCCAGCAGGCCCAGGTAGCGGCGTCCCCCTCTCTGGCCGGTTCCTCTTTGAGGCGCAGGATAGAGGGTGGGGCCTGCAGGTGAGGTCGCCTTTAAGGTATCGGGGACCAAGAAGGAGGCTGATGAGCAACCTGGAGCCCCAAGTGCGGCCAGTGGAGTCACCGACCCTGAGTCCACAGGGTGTCCCTACCCCCATCCTTTCTGGGGCTCCTGCAGCAAGTGCTCACGTCCTTGCTCCCCCTTCCACCCACTGATGACCCAAAGTGTGACCAGCACCCCCGCTGGGATGGGTGGCACAGCCGAAGGGGCGAGAGAAAGGGCCCTGGGTGGCGGCGGAGTAATCTGGGGGGCTCAGCCCCCTGTCCTGGGACGTTCCCCAGGTCAGTCTGACCTCACTGCCAGGGTCAGAGGCCGCTGAACTGGACTGCAATCTGGCCTTTGGCCCTGGCACCATGTGACCTGAGGGCCTTACCCAATGCACATGCCCAGCAAGGGTGATTTCCTGTGTCCCTGTGAGAATCAAACATCAGCTATATCTGTGGTCTGGGCCGGGGCCTGCCCCACGCTGTGGTGCTCCTGTCCCTCCACCTGCGGCCTGTTTGTCCAGGGGAAACTTCCCGGCCTGCAGGCCCTCCCCCCGGGCTGTGTAGAGCACCTGGCCCATCACCCAATTACAAGCACCTGAGATCAGGTGGGCCTCCCTGGGCACGGACCCATTTCCAGATCTTCCAAATCAGATCACCTTCCAAGGCCCCACCCCAAACCCCATGCCCCACCCAGCAGAGCAACTGTGCTGAGTCATGCTGGAGAGGAAGTCGGTGGGGGGAGCAGAAGCCAGAGCTTCCCAGCAGGTGGGCTCCTCACCAGGGGGCCAGACTGGGGGTGCCTGAGGACAACCCCCCTAGGAAGGGAGATGGTGTCTTGTTGACTAGGCGACCAGCTGGGTTCAGAGGGTGCCAGTGGGGAGCTGAGTTCCCTGACACCAGCCTGGGGGAGAGGAGGGCCAGGTGGACCCCAGGGTCAGAGCCCAGGGTCCACCCGCCCTGGGGAAGCCCCTCCGCCTGTCCTGAGGCCGTGCCTAGCAGGAGTCCTCTCTCACACGGGTTTACTCAAGGCGGGCCTCTGCAACATTAGTTCTCAATGACAAGCACTGCAGGCCCCGGTGTCCACTGAAAGGCAGAGCGAGGACATCCCAGGGGTGCGTCAAACCCAAGGAAACTTCAGGGGATGCCAGGACAGTTCCGGGCATCGGCCTGGGACGCAACCTGCGCCTCCCGCTCTTGGCTGTGGGCCAGCAGCGGCCTGCCGGGGCCTTTCTGTGAGTTAAGAGCGTCCCTTGTCCAGGTAACCTTGTAGGTGTGCGGAACAGGAGACACCGTTCACATCATGTTCCAGACACGCCCGTGGCCCCGCATCCTGCAATCTCAGCATCTCCAAACCCTGAAAATGACATATTTTTTGTAGCTCCGTGGGCAGTCGTCTTGCCGTGAGAAGGTTCTGACCTGAGGCTATTCAGTCGCTACGTTCTCTGTCCACTTGATGTGCGAATACCCTTGTTCACTGTGAGAACTTGGGCACGTGTGTTCTGGGTTCCGTGCTCACCCTGCTGGAGGGGCAGGTGACACGCAGTGTGTGGTTTGTATTTTCCTTCAAAGTGCTCAAAATTCTGTCACAAAAGTCATCTAGACGCCAGATTAGGGGAATTAATTCCGAAACAGAAGGCCAGGAGCATGGTGCGGCCATGGGTGGTTCCTCTCGTGTGTGTGTGTGTGTGTGTGTGTGTGCACGAGTGTACCTGCGTGCATGTGTGTTGAGGAGGCAGAGTGAGAGATGGAGCTGTAGGACCGCTTCTCCTCATAAGGACACCATGTTATCAGCTTATGACTTCACGTAGCCTCACTGACCCCTTGAAAGGCCCCATCTCCAACCACAGTTACATTGGGGTCAGGCCTTCAACATATGAATTTCGGGGGGGGGGCACAGGTCAGTCTGTAACACCAGGCGACTCCATCCAGACACCAGGGACAGCTGCTCAGGAAGATTCACCCTGACCCTGAGACTCAGCACCATTTCCTCTCCAGCTCAACCTTCTTTGTTCTCCCCGCTAGAGGGCAGCAGCTTCCTGAAGGAAGTCCTTGAGTATGTCCTGTGCACCGTGAGCAGGGAGGACCTGCAGTTCCTGCTGACCGAAGCTCAGGCCTGGGCGACATTTGTGGCTGAAGCCCACTTGTCCAGGTAACCTCCAGGGGGTGCCCCGGAAAGTCACCCAGATGTCCCTCCTTGGGCTGGTTTCCTCCTGGCAGGCACAACTCCTCCAGGCAGCACCCTGTGGCTGTGTTGAGGATGTCCCTTCTCAACAATCCCTGAGGAATATGTTGTCCATGTAGTTGCCGGTGTGGACGCCCTCAGGTTGAGGTGAATGAAGCCTGCAGCGTGAGGCAGGTTCCGTGACCTTGGCAAGAGACCCGCCATGCTCTGCCTTAGTTTCTTCATCTGTCCGATGTTGTTATGAGAAAAGGAAGATGACACAACAAAAGTGTTTCGCCTCATGACTGACACATAGTAGGTGCACAATTAAGGTTAACTTCTAAAGGTTCCAGGGAAGGGGCATTTCCTCTTGGAAATGAGGTCAGCAGGACTCCCATGTGGACAAGTCAGAACAATCCTGGCACCATCCGTGTGTTCCTGCAGATTCTGGCCGAGCCCAGGGGAGCTCACCTGCCACAGCAAAGAGTCTGACGCTTGTTCGCGTGGTGTGAAGACCTTGCTTGGGATGGCTTGACAGTGGCCAGGGCCGCAGCTTCAGGGGAGAGAGCAGACTGACCACGGCGGGCAGTGGGGGTGGCAGACAGCACACAGAGTGGGGCGGAGGATGGGAAATGACTAGGGGGGACCTCAAGAGTAGGACAATTCTTGCTCAACAACCCAACAGGGCTCTGGCTAAGGTGGGAAGGACTCAGGCATCAAAAGTGAGGCGGTGAGGAATTTGCTCTGATAGCCTCACCAATACTGAGGACTCTCCCTAATTGAATTAGCAGAATTCTTCCTAAGTCTGGGGGAAACAGGGCAGCAAGAGCTGGACACAGAAAGGGAAGGTCCAGTACCGCTCACAAGCAGGTCCCAGACGAGCAGACAAAAGTTTACGAGGAAAGAGTGTTTTTCAAGTCAACCCTCCTTGTATAAAGGTTTTTTCCAGGGCGGTGAGGGGCTTGAGGACACGCTGACCTATGCAATCTGACCCCTCAAGGGGCCAGACCTGATGCCACATGATCCTACTTGACCTACACACATCACATTATTAGACTGTCCAGTGGCCAGAGGCCGAGGCAAAGAACAATACTTCAATCAATCAGGACATTCAGAGGCCGAGATCACTCAGACTCTCTGAGTGCGCAGGTGTCTGCTCTGCTCCTACTTCTCCATAGCTGTCACTCTACAAACACCTGCTGTCATGGGGTTGACCCTCCCTTGAGTGTGAGAGTCTTTATCAAATAGTGACAGTTTTGAGCACTTTAAAGTGACTTTTATTTATTAATCCTTACTGATGGATAAATAAATGCTAAAGAACATCTCCATTGTAGGAAATAGAATGCCGATAGGCAATTTGTACACATTTGGAAAATCCTCTCCAATTCTCTCTTTTTAAATCACTCATGTGGCCTGTTACAGGGAGGAGGCTGATGCTCTGCGTGCAGAACTGAATGAGCTGAAAACACTCAAGGCCCCAGGTGACAACGACATGCACCAAAAAGAGCTGGAGTGCAGGGAGATGTTTTTGAAAGTGTTTCCTCAGTTGAAGGTGCAGCTTGAGGAGCTCATAGCTCAGCTCCACCAGCTTGCAGACAAGGCAGACCAGGTACACAAAGACTGTACCATCGCCAACGTGGTGGCCGACTCCACTGGCGTTGTGTCTGGTGCCATGACCATACTTGGCTTAATTCTTGTACCCTTCACGGCAGGGGGTAGCATGCTACTGACTGGGGCTGGGCTCGGGCTGGGAGCATTATCTGCTGGCACCAGTGTGACCTCCAATATCGTGGAAAATGAAAACATGTCGTCTCTAGAAGCTGAAGCAAATAAGCTGGAAGCAAGAGGTTTCAACATACAGACACTAATCAAAGAAGTCATGGAAGCTTTACGTGAGAGCGCCAGTGAAGTTGGCCTGGCAAAAACAAGTATTGGCGTGGTCTACCATGTTGCCAGGCATGTCCGTGCCATCAGGGTGTTGCACAATAACCTTAGTGCAGCAGCCCGAGTCTCGGTCCGGAATAGCAGGCTGCTGGATCTTGTTCTTGGACCCACCGGGAAGTTGATGGGCAAAGGAGCCCGGGCCGTAGGTGGCCTCTTCACAGCCGTCTTCCTCGTGCAGGATGCGGTCAACCTTGCGCAAGAGTCAAAGGACTTGCAACAAGGGGCAAAGTCAGAGTTGGGTAAGGAGCTGAGGCAGAAGGCCCAGGAGCTGGAGAAGATGTTGCGGGAGCTCAACGACATCTACCAGAATCTGCAGTGAGACCTGACCCCACCTGCCTCGGGCAGTGCAGGGAGCAGAGACGTGTGGGGAACGCAGAGTGGAGCTATCTTGCTGGAGGGAGAAAAAGGGCGAGATGAAGGCTCTGGGCCTGGGAGTTGGGGATGTGGACCAAGAAAAGACAGTTCCTAGAGTTTGTCCTGGTGGCAGATGTCTGCCTCTGCTGCCGCCCACATTGCCACCTGGAGGCTGGAGTCAGCAGAGCAATGGCGGGTTCACTGTGCGGAGCCCTGGGGTGAGGCGCCCAGGAGATGTCAGATGCCCGCTGGTGAGGTGCAGAGAGGGAGAGAATGAGAGAACCACCTGCTGCCCCCTTGGGCCTCGGGGGTCCGGTCCTTCCATCTCCCCCGCACAGACAGTTCTGGCTGCCCAGCTGAGGGCCCGGGGATGGCTGGCTTTGAAATCATGTAGTTTCTGTCCTTCAGCAATGGACTAAGTTTGTTAGAAACCAGCCTCCTCTCCTGACTGAAAATATTGGAAATTGACTAGATCTCTCCTTACCTTTGTTAAAAATTAATACGTGATGTCTCTGTGCACGTGGCTTAGTTACATAGTGAAGGTGCAGGACTCCAGGGGCAGAAACCAGTCTCTTGTGAAATGTGGTACTGGGCTCTACCTCTGGGGTATTTTGGCTCTGAAACCTCTTTAATAAATTACTCTTGGGCCTCCCTGGCGGCGCAAGGGGTTAAGACACAACCTATGAGGCAATCCGCAGTCACTGCAGCACGAGTCCGATGCCCAGCCAGGGAGAAGCCCGCATGGCACAGCAGACCCTCTCCTGACTCGCCTGCTGCTCCCCTCAGCAGTGTATTTTAGTCAATCTGCCTGTTCTGCTCCCCACTCTGTCTCTGGTGAATCCTCTCACGATCCACACTTCTGGCCTGTACCCCAGTTCTTGTGTGCATAAATAAATGAATCTTTAAAAAGAATAAAAAAAAATAAATTGCTCTTTTACTGTCATTGAGTTGCCTTCAAAATGGGTGTTACTGAAATGAGGGGGAGGTTGGCATGACTGTAGCTGAGAGCAGGAAGGTGGGCAGGGCTCAGGCAAAGGCCAGTGGGTCAGAGGAAGGCAGAATTGGGGAGCCTGGAATAGGGGGAGGGGACTAGAGAGTGACAGGAGGGGGGAGCAACCTTATATCGGGGCTCAAGAAACATGGAGCAGGAATAAGAGCCGCAGAGGATCAAGCACTATTGGGCCCCACGGAGGCCCTGAGCACAGAGGAGACAGACCTCACCCACCCCTGGAAAGCACCAGAGGCCTCCGGACAGATCACAGACATGTGAGAAGTTGTTCCAGTCACTCATGCTAAGGGAAATGCAAGTGATACCACAAGGAGCAGCAGCTCACGCCTTGAGAACAGCCCGAAGAAGGCAGGTGTGGGGAGGATGTGGGGAAAGGAGCAGAGGCTGGAGGGGCGGGTGCTCCCATAACACAGCGGCCAGCTGGGGCCAAAACATCTCTTGTGCAGGGCACAGGCAGACCTTGTTTCACCCCCAGGGGTATGACCAAGCCGCCTTCTCCAAGGGCCAGACCCGCTGCCTTCCTGGGGGGGCGCTCGGCCGCCTGCAGGCCGCTGTGCCGTGTCCCGGGGCCGGGGCTGTGGCGCCAGGTGCCCGGTGGCGGGTGAGGGGGGCATGGTGCCCTCAGACCCAGGCTCGTGAGTGATTTCTAGACGTGTGGGGTCACCCTGTTACCTTCGGCTGTAAAATTAAAGCCAAGCTGGGGAAAAGGAAGAGAAGCAAGACGGCGGGGTGTGCAGAGAGGAAAACAGCTCAGCAAAGGGAGGCGGCTCTGGCACAGGTCAGGAGGGCAAGCTGGGGTTGAGTCCTGGCTCCTCCCTGAGAGCTGGATGAAGGCCCCGCCTCTCCCCTGCCCTCTGCTTCCTCACCCACAGGCCATATTCCTGACCTACTTTATGGGGTGATTTTCAGACCAAACTACAAGTGCTCCTAATTTGAGAAGGCCCACCGTGCTCTGTCCCCACCCAGAGCCAGAGGTGGAGCGATGCGGGTGACCAGGAGTCCCGTGGACATTTGCCCTGAGGAAACACCCCCTGGAAGGGCAGGTTGAGCTCCCTGGGTGTTCAGGCCCTCCAGCCCTGTCAAAAGGTGCAACAGCGCCCACCTGTGCCCCCTCAAAGCAGGGCACCTGCGCCCCCAGGTTATTATCTGTGCAAGGAAGCCCCTCTCCCAGCTGAGGGGAGGATTCAGGGAAGATGCCTGGAAGGCTCAGCCCAGGGCTGTCTCCCCCAGGCCCAACCATGGAGGACAGAGCAGGAAGCAACTCTCACTGTCTCCCCCATATGCTCCTGCCTAGCTGGGGCTGCCTTTTCCTGCAAGGCGTCTGTCTGGGGGAAGATCTGGTGTCAAGTGTTCATAGCCAGGGTAGGAAACAGCTGAGTTCCCCCAGCCTCTCCCCCGGCTGTGTCCATCCACTGGCCTGACACCAAGATGGGCCTCCTTGTGCTGGTCAGCAGAACCAAAGCCACCATGTGTCCCTCCAGAGGGAGCTGGCCAGGGGAAGGGAGACCAGGAGACAAGTGAGGTCAGTAACCTCAGGGAACCCCACCAGGTGCCACAGGAGCAGGGCTTAGACATGCACTCCGTGGGGGAGCATGCCGGAGGGCTTCTCAGAGGAGGTGATGTCACGGATGAGCACGGTCTCCAGGTGGTAGAAGCAGGGGCTCCTGAGTGGGAGCCAGGGGAGCAAACGTGGAGTAGCTTTGTGTCTGTGACCCCAGGCAGCAGCAGCAAGACATGGGACATGTCTGCCCAGGGCCTCTGGGCCTCAGGGGCAGTGTGAGTGCCCAAAATGGAGGTAAATCAGGTGACCTGCTGGGAAGTGGGGAGGAGAAAGGAAGAAGGGGTAAGACACCCACAAGGTGGGGACAGTCATGTGCTCAGGGTCCCACGGTCTATCAGCGGCAGTTCTTGAAGAACAAGGCAGGAGGTGCTGAGCCAGTAGGATCTGAGGTAGGTCTGGGGGTCCTCTCTGGTGGGTCAGCAAGGGAGGGGGCACTGGGAGGTCAGTGTCCCGTGTGGGGAGCTTAATCTTTATCTGCTCAGATTTGCTGAGTTTCGCTTTCTGTTTCCTGAGTGTGTCCGTGCCCAGAGGTGTGTCTGGTCATTACACAGACTCACAGCAGGTGACTGGAGCTGCACCAGTGCCCCGTGTCTCCTTCCACCAGCCAAGGGTGGTCCCGGTAAGCTGGTTAAGGGGACCCTCACCCCACCTTCTCACCCTCCCAGCCAGCTCTTAGAGAAGGATCGTGGTCACCACTTTATAAACCAAGAGGAAAGTTCAGAGGTTGCGCATGGGCCAAAGTCACGCAGGGAGCGGCAGAGGCCGGCCTGCCAGAGGCCTTCTCCCTCCCCGAGCCCCTGACCAGTAGAGGGAGGGGGACCACTCCGAGGGGTCCACAAACCCTTTGACGCCCCCAGCAAACCCAGGTCTCTGACCCCTGAGACATGAGCAGGTGACAGAAGGTGGTGCTGGGGTGCTCGTGCCTTTGGGGAATTTGGAGACACCAGAAAGGTGAGCAGGGAGCTCACACTTCTACCCGCGGCCTGACTGCCTAGGGACCCCAGGGTGCTGCTGCAGAGGCCCAGGGGGTAGAGACTTTCTGTTCAGACAGGAGGGATCAAGGGGTTTCTGAGAAAGTGAACCCAGCGGTTGTGTCACCCACTCTGAGCCCTGAGCCTGCTGGGGCAGGTCCCCTGGGGAAACTGAGGCCCTGAGAGGGGGAGACTTGCTGGGCCCCAGCCTGGCAGAGCGAGCAGGGTCATCTCGGGGCTCTGCCCCTGGCCCCTGCTGTGCATTGTGGGTTTAGATGGAGGAAGAGGCAGCCTGCCCCTCACTGGAAAGAAGCCAGCAGCGGGTGAGGAAGCGCCAGGGTGATTCCCCACGGGATCCTGGTTCTGTCCCTCCGACCAGCTGCGGCCCTGGGCATGTGGTGCCCGAGGGTGCGCGTGGGTCTGCGTGTTACACAGAAGTCTGGACACTGGGGCCATCAAAGCACCTTTGCCCTAAACACCAGCACCCAAAGGCCCGCTCTGGCCTGTGCTCTGCCCCCCAGGGGAGGTGGCCCTGGGCCCGTCACCTCCAGGGAGACATTTGTTCTAAACTGTTCTCTTAAAAAATTTGGTTTCCGTCTCGTGTGGGTGTGTGGGAGCTGTGCAAGCTTGCCTTTATCAGCTGACGTGTCACAACTAGTGTTTCCTGGCGTGCAACTAGTTTGTGGAGCCCTCGGCCATGTTTAATGTTTTTAGAGGTGAACTAGATCAACGTTTCCCTTTATGGTTCTGGAATTTGTGCTTTGGTTGGAGAGGTTCCCTCAGCTCAGCGTCGTTGCAAGCATTTCTTCTGGTGTGTCTGTCGTTTTTTCTTTCTGTCTCACATTCAGATCCTTTTGGGATCAGCTGAGTGATTGATGGATCCATGGATTGCCAAGTAGATCGATTCCGTGGACGCTCTTTGTTTTGATTGATTCAGTCCAAGCTTTTCTGTTTCTTCTTTTCTCTCCTCTTCCTCCTTGCTCTGCCCCTCCAGCGTATCCTGCTCCTCCTCCTGCTCCTCTCTCTGTCTTCCTCTCTCTCCTCATATAAGAATATTATGGCTGGAGTAAGACATGAGGAAATCAATGGAAACTCCCAGAAACCTGATAGAGCTATCAAAAAAACATTATAGCACCAAGGTTATTTGTGTAAAAGCTGAGTCAAAGTCTTATTTGTGCTTGATTAGAATGAGTCTTTCATCTAGACCAGCATGAAAACAATTCCTCAAAGGGGGGTGAACAGAGGCCCCACTGTGTGGTCAGGTATTTCATGGATCAGGTAGATTGATTCAGAAGAAGCTATTTCATGGCCGGCTAATGGCTTCCCACCTCAGACTATCCGGCTGTGCCAGGGGGCAGAGTGGACCCTGGGAGGCACTGGAGCAGGAAGCTGGCAGAGCTGGCGTCTCACACCCACCAGCACAATCAGATAAGCTCATTGCCAGGTGCCAACCTGGGGACTGGAACTGAAGACCACGTTAAAATGTACACAACGAGGTGTTTTCTGTGATTGGCACAGAGGTTGTTTGGCTTTTTGAGGTGGTTGGGTGCTTAGCAGACTTTCTAAACTGGCATCAGGTGAGCTGAGTAAGTGGCAGGAAGTCCAGTGATGATGCAAACAGACTTGGCATTTGGGGGCTGGCTGGTCCTCTGCTGATTTCAGAGAAGACCTGTAAACTCCTGTCAGGTGAGCTGAGGTTTCCCTCAGGCACCTGTGTTGACCAAATCCAATCCGTCCTTGACGTAACTGACTCCATTCTAGTTTGGTTTTATATGGTGCCTCAGAGAATCCGCAGGATCCCTGGCGAGGTGCTCAGGGCTGAATGGAGACGGAACCGTCACACAAATGGAGCCGCAGCCAGGAGAGAGCAACATTCAAGGAGCCTGGAGATGATGGGGTTGTGGGTGGGAAGCTGGGGAGGAAGTTTTTGAGCTGGCCTCCAGCACAGGTAAATTTTCACAGTGCCAGGTAGGTGGGCAGCAGCACCCTAGGGGGAGGGAGCAGGCTGAGCAAAAGCCTGGAGGCTGGGGTGATATCAGAGCACAGGAAACTGGCAGTCCACAGGTGTCTGGGGGAAGGCAAGCAGGGAGGGCGAGACACAGGACAGGGAGCCAGGGGAGGAGCTGCCCCGCCCCCCTTGGAGGGAGATGCCTGGTGAGAATCTCTGTTTTGCTGCCTCCAGAGAGCTTGGGCCAAGGAGGAGGGCGTGGGGCCTCTGTCTGGGCCGTGCGGTTGGGTAGGAGCTTCCTCTTGGGCCTCCCTGCTCCCTGCTTGTTCCCCCCACAGCCCTTTTGGAAACTGGTCACTCAGCAGCTAGACCAGGGGACACCCCACATACCAATCAAGCATTAGGGGAACAAGACTGGCATCCACACTGAGCTGAGACAGGTTTATGCCAGACCAAGAACGGCAGAGAAGACAGGGCAGGGAGGGAAAGACCGAGGGGCAGACACATTACACATGTCTGGTGACACCCGGGACCCGATCCTTTTCCTCGTGGGCTCTGCCGGCTCTGGTCCCGGGTTTCAGACCTCGGCCTGCCTGCCTGCGCACACAGACCCTTGCTTCGGTCTGAAAGGCAGGACAGACACGGCTAAGGCTCCAAGATTCCTTTCCTGTCTGCCCGGATCCACAGTGCACCTGCCTGGCCGGGGTGGTCGCAGCGCAGCCTCCCCACCCCCTTTCTACTGTCGCCTCCCGTGGCCCCAGAGCTGACACAGGGCTGGGCCCGCCAGGCCCTTGCAAGGCCATGAGCCATGTGGGGTTGGCTGGACGTCCAGAATAACTGGTACATGTCCAGGGTGTGCGCGGGCTGCCTGTGGCGTGGAAGGTGAGAGAGAGCCTGCAGCAGCTCCACGGTCCTCACACACATGAAGCCCCACCGGGCAGGCCCGTTCCTCACATGATCAAGGGGACTCCAGACTAGACCCCCCAGGGCGCCCCGTGGACAGCAGTGAATTTTACATCAGGATGATGAAAATCATCAGCGAGATGCATCGAGTTCATTCTGACGCGGGGTGAAGCTTCAGGGAAACAGGACGGCCGGGCGGGAGCCGGGGGCGAACAGCCACGTTCCACCTGCACAGTCCAGTGAGCGAATGAAAACCTCCTGGAAAACAGCAAGATTTTGCCAAGGACCTAAAATAATCAATATTCACTGTCTTTCCTCCTGTCCCGACACAGGATAGTCACAAGCAGAACTAACAGAAAAAATATACACATAGAGAGAGCAACCTCTCGCTCTCGGTGTATGATTTTTTAATCACTGGGACCCGGTAAGGCTGCCGGGAGGGACACCGCACACAGGGTGGGACTGTGAATCGGTAAAATGTATTGACATAACAGTGTGGCTCTAGGTTTGAGAATGTTTATATGTTGCTGCCCCCTGACCCCGTCACTACTTCCAGATGCCTTAAGTGAATAATCCCCATGAGGGCAAAGTTCTGTACAAGGGGAGCACTGTGTGCAATTATTGCAAAAAATGAAAGTCTCGGGGAGGAGGAGGGAGAGGGAAGTTCCTCAGGAGGCCAGGGCTCCCCTCCCCCCCACTCCCCAGCAGGGCTTTGGGGGAGGCCGTCCAGGGAGGGCCCCAGGGAGGGAGGGCCCCGGAAGCAGGAGGACTGGGCCTGCCCAAAGCTGTGACCCAGGAAATAGACCCAGAGGCGGGGCCGGGGTGCAAGGCCTCACTGAGGAGCCAGAGCTGCTTCCAGGTGACACCCACTCTGGCAAAAGTGTTTGTGGGTCACAGGAGTGACACGGTCTCCCCAACACGGGGCTGGGGTCAGTGAGACTTGGGTTCAGCCCTGTGGCAACCGGGGCTCAGGGTCACTTGGGAACAGGAAGTTTCTGCTCATTGATTCCATTTTGATGTGGAGGCAGGTAGCCCCTATCCATTAGAGGGGACCCCGGGGGTCTCACAGCACAGATGCCCCCTCAGCATTAACTGTTAACCTTGAGCACAGCTGCTTCCCACCTCAAATAACTTCCAGAACCTTCTGTCCCACCTTTCTTCTGGGCTTGCTGTGACTGCTCTATCACTCTCAGGTGGCCTCCCTGGTTGGGGTGTCTCCTCCTGCTGGTCTCCCACCCCTACCTTCACCCCTGCATGACAGGATCTGACTTGGCTTGGCGTGAGCTACAGTGAATTGAGAAACTCTCTAAACAGCAGCAGCCGGGCTCAGGAGACAGAGAAACACCCAGTTAACGCATCTTGGCCTTTGGGCCCCCCAGAGAGAAGCACAGGCAGGTGTTTCCTGCTGCTCCCACGGCCACAGCTGACTAACGCCCGAGCATGGTTTGTCTTCCTTCTCTTAAGGGTGAAACAACCTTTCCTACCCGCACTCTGGCTGCTGAGCTGGCAGAGCAGCCCTGAGACCCCGCGGCCGGCGCCATGGACCCAGACTGCAGCGGTGGGGACGACGCAGGTAGTCAGCCTCTTCTTTCTCTGTTCCCACTGGGCCCGGAATTGGGGGTGGCGCCGTCGGGCTGAGTTCACCTCTAGGGTATCAAGAACTGTGAAGAGGATTGATGAGTGACCTGCAGCCCCCAACAGGTGTCCAGGGGAGCCCCCAACCCCGAGTCTGTGGGGGCATCTCCTCCCTGGTCCCCTCCTCCAGGTGCCGTGGCAACCCGCTCCCCGACACCCATCCAATGACCCAGAAGAGAAGCCAGGACAGTCCTCAGGAATGTTGGTAAAGAGTAGAGGGAAGAATAAAGGGGCCCCAAGGCAGGGGGGGAGGAGAAGAGAGAGCAGGTGGACCAGCAGCCCAGGGGGCTTCTCCTGCCTCCCACCCTTATCCAAGTTACCTGCCTAGGGGCAGGATCTAGAAGACCAACTATCCTCTGCAGGCATTCGCAGGTCCCACAGGACCCCTGTCTAGTCTCAGCTCCCTCCTACCTGCGTGACCTGGCGCGCCTGACCCCACTCACCTGTCTGGGGAGAGTCACTCCCTGCGCTCCCTGGGATCACACATGGATACATGTGGCCTGGTTCTGGGCCTACCCGCACCGTGTAGCCTCAGTGTTTGTCCTGTCCCCGCCGTCTGAGTGTGTGAGTCCAGGTGGAAACGCCCCGTCCCCCAGCACCTTCTCTGCCCGCGGCTTGTTCGAGCCCCCGCGCTGTCTGCCGGGTACACACACCCGAGACCCGGCACCCGCCCACGGCAGGGTCTCCTTTCCTCTCAGAGACCCCTGCAGAGCTCGGCTCTCAGACCTCCCCTCCTCTATCCTCACCCCATCAATGAACACACAGAGGGGGGACTGTGGTGCCCTCCGTCCAAGCCCTGGTTTCCTTCTCCCTGCAGTGCAGCAGCAAAAATAGAATAAACAACCCTCCCCCTGCAAAATTAGCACTCGGTTTCCTCAATCCACTTTCCCAGGGCTCCCCCCTCACTGCATTGCCCTGGCTAGCAAGTCAGACCCGCCCATGCCCCACCCAGCAGAGCAATTGCACTGAGTCATGCTGGAGAGCAAGGTGGGAGGGTGGGGGGAGCAGAAGCCAGCACTTCCCAGCAGGTGGGCCTCTTGCCAGGAGGCCAGGCTAGGGGTGCCTGAGGACAACCCCCCTAGGAAGGGAGATGGTGTCTTGTTGACTAGGCGACCAGCTGGGTTCAGAGGCGCCAGTAGGAAGCTGAGTCCTGTGACAACATCCTGGGAGAGAGGAGGGGCAGGTGGACCCCAGGGTCAGAGCCCAGAGTCGGCACCCCACCCCCCGGGAAGCCCCTCTGCCTGTCCTGAGGCCGTGACTAGCGGGAGTCCTCTCTCACACGAGTTTACTCAAGGTGGGCCCTTTGCAACATCAGGTTTAATTACAATAGCAACAGCATCCACACACATATTTACAGGGTAGGATGCAGACATGACAGGAGTTATTTTAAAGACAAGGAGGCTTCGGAGTCAAACGCCAAAGACATGGCTGACCCTTGACCTGGGATTCAGTTCTGCCTTCAGCTGGCGGCTGTGGGCGGTCGCTCGTCTGAGTCTCACTCTCGTCTCCTGTGAAGGAAGATCACATCTTGGTTCATGTAGAGCAGGAGACACATTTCACATATGCTCCTGGACACGCCTGTGTGTGCTAGTCCCTGGACTCCATTTGCAATCCCATAATCTCCAATTCCCGAAAACCACTCATCTTTTTGTAGCTCAGTGGGCGGTCGTCTTGCCTCGAGCAAGCTTCTGACCTGAGACTGTTCACAGTCGTCACATTATTTGTCCACTGGATGTGCGTGTTCCCTGGTTTCACTGTGAGAACTCGGGCACGCGTGTTCTGGGAGCTGTCCTCACCCTGCTGGAGGGGTAAGTTATGTGCAGTATTCTCCTTCTAAAGGATAAAAACGTGTGAATTATAAAACATCTAGATGCCAGAAATCAGATAATTATTTCAGGAGGCTGGGCGTCCTAGAGCAAGTTGCTGCCAGGGTTCATTCCTGGTGAGACTCTCCCTGGTTTGCAGATGGTGACTTCTCTGTCCTCACAGCACTGTGTGTGTGTGTGTGTGTGTGTGTGTGTGTGTCTAAAGAGAGAGAGAGAGAGAGAGAGATCTGGTCTCTTCCTCTTGTAAGGACACAGTGTTTTCAGACGAGGGTCCATCCCATGACTTCACTTAACCTCATCTACCTCTTGGAATGCCCCGTGTCCAACTACAGCCACTTAGGTGTCAGAACTTCAACACACCTGCCTGTTAGGGAGACAATTAAGTCCATAACACCAGGTGACGCCATCCAAAGGACCCAGGTGACAGCTGTTCAGGAGATTATCACTGACCCCTGAGACTCAACACCATTTTCTCTCCACCTCAACCACCCTCTCTGTTTTTTCCATCTAGACAGCAGCGACTTTCTTGTGAATGCCATTAAGTATATCCAGAACACAATGAGCAGTGAAGACCTACAAGACTTGCTGGCTGACGCCAAAATCTGGGAGGCATTTGTGAATGAAAATGTTTTGTCCAGGTAACCTCCACGGGGTGTCCCAGGAATGTCACCCAGATGTCCCTCACTGGGCTGGTTTCCTCCTAGCAGGCACACCTAATCCAGGCAGTACCCTGTGATTGTGGTTAAGGATGTTCCTCCTTAACAATCCATGAGGACTATGTTCTCCATGCCATTTGCTGGCAGTGCATGGCATTGGGTTGAGAAGAGATGAAGTCTGCAGTGAGCATTAGTGTGACCTTGGCATGACTCACCCACTCTCTGCCTTAGTTTCTTATCTGTTCAATGTTGTTGTGAAGAAAACAAGAAAATGAAGGTAAAGTGCTTAGCATAATGAATGACCCATAGTAGTGCACAGTTAGTGTTCACTTTTTGTAAGCTTTCTGGAGAGAAATAGGGTCTAAAACCTTCTTCCTAGAGATAAAAGCCAAGCAGAATTTCCTTTGGAACAATTCAAAAAATATTGCCACAATCAGGTGTGTTCCTGGGGATTGTGGCTGGAATCCCCAAGAATTCTACAAAAACTACAGAAACCTTCTGTACTTTAAAGTAGAAAGGCTGGAGCAGAGTTGGACAGAGTTGAGTTAGGGCCTGATCTATTCCTTGCCAGCTCTTGGGCTCTGAACTTATTCCTTGGTGTCTCAGATTTATAGTCTATCCAAGGACAAGATCAATTCAGTCTGATAGGATGGTGGTGAAGGCCTTAAGGCTGACTGTGTGGTCAACAGTGGGGAATCAAACACAATCATCTGGTCCAATGGTTCTTTCCTCCCTGATTTGGTCCTCCCATTGCTGGGCATGGAGAGTAGTAGGTGATTGTTTCCTCCATAATCTTTCTGGGTGGCTGAGGGGAAGTGTTGACTATTATTTGGAAACCTCTTCTATTCTACATAGAGTAGCCCCTCACCCATGGGAAGGCAGTGTGGCCCAGCGATACTTCCATAGTCAGCATGTGAGGCTGCCAACTTTGTGTAATTTGAAGGCTGCTGAGGAGACTGCCTAGTCCCCTCCAATGAAGAAAGGAATTTCTCCACCTACTACAAAAGCAGGACTTTCAGACTTAGTGATTCAGAGAGATGGGTTTTTACATCCCCTGGCTTGTTAAGAGGCTCTATAAAGTTGCACATGGCCTGGGTATGTACACAAAAATAAAACTGTCAGCAGCTAAGGTGTGAGTTAGGCTGGTGACACTTGAAAGTTCAGGGATGGTGGGTCAGAAGTCAGAGAGGCATCTGGAGAGGGCAAGGAAAACCATAGTTAGTAGAAATATCCTGCTTCCCAGTCATTTGGGGCCATGACTTGACCTAGTGACATTTGACTGAGAAGATCAATGGGCATCAAACTTGGAAGAGAGTAGATAACAGGCAAAATAATCATTATTGTGCCTTCTGGCTCTGATTTATTTTTAATTCTATGTATCCAGTGTGCCAGACTCCCATGACTGAGGGTACAATCCCCCAAACTGAACTTTTCACACCAACTGTAAATTTCAGGGTACCCAACCACTCTCAGTTTCAATAATTCCCTAGAAGAACTCAGAACTCACTGACAGCTGCTATGCTCACAGATACAGTTAATTACAAAGAACAGATACCTGTCAAAATCATGAAAGGGAGAAACACAGAGTCTAGGAGCATTTGAAATATTGTCATTTGTCCTCAGGAGATGTTACTGTTCTCCTTGAGTGTGTGAAATACACATGGAGTATAGCCAACCTGTGGAGCACACCCTGTTAAAGAAAAACATTATCCTGACACTTGTTAAAACAGTACAACAGAGTTTACTCAGGACTTTTGTGGTAGTGTCAAGACCATAGTAATTGATGAGAGAGACTAGTGAGACCTCTTTAGCCAACAAGGAGAGTGAGTAGGTGAGTAGACAATCACTAGAGGGGACATCAGGAGTAGGAGGATTCTTGCTAAAGAGGGGTAGGAGAAAACTTCTACATGAGAAGTGGAGGACATGTAGCCTCCAGCCACTCCCAGGGGTCAGGAGTGATACCACAAGTCCCTAAGCCCTCATCAGATATCTCAGTGCTAGACAGATCAGTGACCAAGGGCACAGCAAGTGAAGACATTCCTATCAATCAGGACATTCTAGAGACGTCAAGATCAATGGCAAGAAAAAAGGCAGGGCTGTCTGTGGGTCAGCTTAATTCTTCACTGCACACTCAGATTCTCTGAGCAAAGTTGTTTCTGCTCCAATTCTACTTCTCTTCATTTTTACTCTACAAACACCTGCTGTTAGTATTGACCTTCCCTTGAGCAAATACCTACTATGACTTAAGAGCATCTTAAAATGACTTTTACTTATTTATTTTCTGATTGAATAAATACTGGGAAGCATCTATGATGTTTGAAATATTTATTGTTGATCGATACCTTCTTTAACCTTGTAAAGTTGTTTTCCATTTGACATATTGTAAAAGCTCTATAATTTCTAAAGTTTGAACTGTAGTGAGTATTGAGACCATTTGGCATATAAGCAAATTGCCTGTTTTTAGCACCTGACTTTCATTATTACAGGGATGAAGCAGATGTGATATATGAAGTTCTGAGTGGTCTGATAACAGACACAGCCACGGAAGATAAAAATGAGCAGGAGTTTAGGGAGCGGTTTCTGAAATCATATCCTCAGATTCAGCAGCAGCTTAAGAAGCACATAGCCCAGCTCCATGAACTTGCAGATAAGGCAGACAAGGTACACAGGGACTGTACCATCTCCAATTTAGTGGCCAACTCCACCGGCATTGTGTCTGGCATTCTGACCATTGTTGGCTTGAGTCTGGCACCAGTGACAGCAGGGGTCAGTCTGGCACTGACAGCAACTGGGGTGGGACTGGGAACAGCAGCTACTGTGACCACTGTGTCCACCAGCATCGTGGAAAAGGTGAACATGTCCTTTGTAGAAGCTGAAGCTAATACCCTATCAGCTGGAATCAATGAAGAGAAGGTGGTCAAGGAACTTCTATGTGACCACTCATCCAAGATAGTTTCCATAGGAGACACGATTTTCAGGGGCCTGAATGGCATTCAGAAGAACGCCCGTGCTATCAAATTAGTCAAATCCCAGCCTCAACTAGCAGGCCGTGCTGCACGCCTCATGTCTGGTGGGAAACTGTCAGCCCAAGGCACCCGTCAAGTCGAGAAAGCTTTTGGAGGCACTGCTCTGGCAATGACGAAAGGAGCCCGGATCTTCGGTGTAGTCACTGCTGGCGCCACTGTTCTGATGGATGTAGTCAGCCTAGTGGAAAACTCAAAGGACTTGCACAAAGGGGCAAAAACACAGTCAGCTGAAAACCTGAGGCAGGAGGCCCAAGAGCTAGAGAAGAAGTTGGAAGAGCTGAACCAGATCTATGACAGTCTGCTGTAGTTCCTGACTCTGCGACTCCCAGGGCCACGCAAGGAGCAGGGACTTGTGTTGGACGAGGTGTGGCGGTTCCTTGTTCATGTGGAAAAAAGCAAAAAATGAAGTTTATAGACCTGGACCTGGGTGTTAAGGAGTTTGGCAATTCTGTAGCTGAGTAAGAGTAGGATTAATGAAGCTGGCATGTGAAAAGGCAGGAACACAGTTTGGAATAAGGGAGGAGACTAGAGGGAGAAGGTTAAGAAAACCATTTATTTTGGACTAAACAAGACGGGGGGCAAGAATAAAGTGGGGTGAAGGAACAGGCAATGGGAAGACCAGTAACATTACAAAATTGAAGATGAGAGAAAGTGAAAGAGTTGAAATTGTTGGGATACGGGAAAGCAACAGCGGCTCCTCTGTTAACCCTCCCCGTGGTCTGACATGCTAGAAAATATGGCCTGACCCTAGTTTTAGTGTCTACTCCCAGCTGTCCAGTGTGAATGTATTTTGTCTTCTAGCAGCTTTACCTTGATTACAGAGTGACCTCTGGTGGTGGTGGTGGTGGTGGTGAGAACAGCAGATTGGGTGGGAGAGTGGTCAATCACTGCTGCTCTCCAAACCAGGTTGTCCTTGGAGAAATTGAGGACAGTGAAATTCCAAAGGCTGTGTTGAAGCAGTGACTGATTTTTTTTTAAAAGGAGTGGGGTGGAGAATGATACCAGATGCCAGCACAGGGCAAGGAACTTGACGTGTCTCAAGATCAACCATCTTGTGATCAAGAGCTACACATCCCTGAGCCTCAGGTTCCTTACCCATTGGGGGAATTGCTAGCAAAGATGTTATTTCATGACTGTCTGTTTCTCCTCCACTTGCACTTTATAGACCGCTTCAATAAATCTGGTGATACCCTGAGACTTTGTTGTGTTGATGGTCTTCCTTGGGTTCTGGATTGACATGTGGCACATGAGGTCAACTAGGGGCAGAAGGGCTTGTTTGTAGGTGTGAGAGAGCATCTCCAATAAAAGAAGGGACAGAGAGAGACAGCTGGACAGCAACATCCTCACCCCAGCGACCCTCTCCCTTCACTGAGACTCCTACAATGACTTCTGGGAGGGCCTCCCTTGTGGTACTGCCCCTGCCCATCCTCCACACTGGGCCAGAATAACCCTCAAGTACCTCCTTCTAACTCGTCAATGGCTTCATATAACTCCTAGCACCAAATGCCCCCTTATTCCAGGGGGATAAGTAGCCTATTCCAGCCTGCAGTTCCCTGAAAGCAGAGGTGCAAACAAGGCTCAACCAGGACTGGGGAGTCAAGCAACAGAGGAGAATTCAATCTGAGAACATTCTTGATGTGGTCACCCCTGTGGGTTACTGAGGCCTTCTGAGGAGCCTTCACGGAGTCCTCGAATTCATTCTTTCCAGGGCGGCACTAGAGAAGCCTCTGGTCATCTCGCCCATCTCTGAGTGGTGAGGGAGGAGCTTCCTCTGGTGGACATTAATTTCATGTATTTCCATGTGTGGAGCATGTAAAGGCCAAACATTTGACCATAACTAGAGCCTAGGTAGGAAGCAAGAGACAGAGGACATACGAAATTATTCCAGAAAATCTCCTAAGTCACTGCTTAAGTCCTTTTGCATATACCACCTTGCAAGAGACTTGTCAGGCCCCGAAACACCCTGTCAGTGAGTGTTCTCTGAGGCCTGCACATTGAGTCTTGCAGTTCTTCCTAACGACATCAATAGTCATGGCCACTCCCTCGCCTGATCACCCAGTGTGTTACACTTCTTGGGCAATTCTTCATCTGTTTTTGATAATTCACATTCATTCATAGATGTCACAAGGACGTTGAGTGTTCCAGGCACTCAGTAACTGAATGACCTGTGAACCCTTCCCCCGCTGAGTACTTAGAGTTGAATTCCATTTTGCTAAAGGTGCATTTCATGCAATTCCTCTGTAACACTTGTATCAGTTGGACTTTCCTTGGTTGCAAGCAACCGAAACTGAGTCTGGTTCACAAGAACAAAAAGTGGATCCATGGGAAGAGGAATAGGAAAGCTCAGAGCATAAAAACATACTCAAAATGTACACAGTTCAGAGAGGACGGGAGCCAAGACGGGTCCGTCCATTTTTAGTTTCTGACGATCTGCCCTTGAGGGCCCAGCCAACAGCTGACGGAGATCAAACACATGGAATCGGCGGTCTCCAAGCTGGAGCCGCTCCCTCATCTGGTTTACTACACCTTGAGTTTGAATGTGACAAGTCTGGGATTGCTCAGGCCTTTTCTGAATTCTCTTCATGCTTGGCCAGGCTGCCAGAGCCCACTCTTCTGGATTTAAATGTGTCCTCGGGATCTGTGCCTGTCCACGGCCATGTCTGTCCATGGGCCTGAGCTGAAGTCTAGCTCAGTCTAGGAGAAAGTGTTGCCCAAAAAAAGAACTGAAGGAGGAGCCAGCCTTGGAGCCAGGATGGGCGGGAGTCCAAGATTGGGGGTGAGACACAGATCTCCTTCCTTCCTTTCTTTATTCCACCATTCACCCATCAAGGCCTTACCGACACCCCTCCCTTTTTTGGGCCTAGGAGACCCTTCTGTCTGGAGCTCAGAGTTAGGGTACACTCAGGGTATAAAAGTTCCCAGTCACAGCCTCTCTATGATCACCCCATTCCTGTCTCTCCCTCCTCCCTGTGCCCTTCAGCAGTATTGAAGTGCTGGAAGTTCCCCACACCCCCGGGTATTCCTCTAGGCACCCCTCCCTCTGCTGTCTTGCAAGCCTGGCCCTTCCTTCACGACTCCCTCAGCACAGTCACGTCCTCACTGAGCCTCCTCATCCTTCAGTGCAATTCCGATGCTCCCCTGGGCTCCCACCACCCTGTGGGCCCCCTCATGCAGCTTCGCACAAAAGATCCCCACAGGCTACCCACTTGTGCGCTCCCGCTGCAGAGACTGGCCGCTCCCTACAGCCCTGGATCTGGGGGGATGTGGCTGTGCCGCCAAACCCGAATTTGTGAAAGGGAAGACCAAACTGGCTTGTTTTTAACCAATAGCACTGTGGTGAATTTTTCTGTACAATTGAAAAAAGGCATAAACAATAAAATAGTGCACAATTTAAGAATTTTAGCAGATGGCACCACAATCACAATCAAGATAAGGAACAAGCATATCACCGCCAAAAGTTCCTTCTGACTTTCTAATGTGTTTCTCTCTAGGCAACACCTGACTGGCACCTTGTCACCACAGTGACAAATACACATATAGCATGATTGTGTGTGTGTGTGGACTGATATGATGATGCAGACTCTTCTTTTGCCCGCACAGTGCTTCTGAGTGTCATTTCCATCATGTCAGTCATTCATTTTTTTAATCGTTAATAACACACGGCTCTGCGGCGTTTTGTTTAATCCTGCTGGAGACATTTGGGTTGTTTCTGCTCTCAAACCACCGTGAATCAAAGTCTACTATGGGCTCCCCTCCTCTGCCACCCAAGATTGGTGCTCACCTCATGAAGTGGACACCTCGCCAAGTCGAGGATCTGAACGCCAGAGAGAAGGGATACCGGTGGTGCCTCAACATGATCCAGAACCCCCTCCCCCAAACACACTGAGACAGGCTGGACCCCACCCTGCCCCACCCTGCCTGTCTGGGCACCTACAGAAGCCAGGAAAGGACAAAGGACCTGAGACCACAGCGCCACCTGCTGGCAAAGGAGAAGAAACTCACATAATTAAGTTGCTTATCCAGATATTTAAAGAGAAATTTATTTTTTTATTGATGCAAAAACTGAGAAGCTTAAAGTAGCAAAATTATCAGACAACTTGAATCCTCAAGGAAATGTGACATCACAAGCAGAGAACAACTCTCCAGAATCCAATATTATACATGGGAGACTGTATTTCATCATTAGAAAGGTCGAAATTGCTATTATAAGTCTGGCAAGTAGGTGGCAGAGTGGAGGTGGCTGGGCTTGCCTCCTCCACACATTGACAACCAAACTGTAACTAAACAAAGTCAACAACCTCTGAAAGATAAATGCAGGACCATCACATGCACCAAGAGCAGCTGCACGGCAGAAAGAGGTAGGACCAACTGTAACGGAACTGTGTTTAGGGTGACTGGGGTGATCGTCCACCCCGTGAGAGGAAGGGTAACTGCTGTACCGAGCACCTCTGCTGTTCTTGACTTGGGTGCACATCCACATTTGGGGACTTCAAAAACTAGGCATGACATAGCAGGGGGTGCACGGAATTGGCGTGCTGATCCCACCACACAGCATGGGCATCTACAGAATTACAGGAGGCTCGAGCCACTGGTGCTCTTTAGAAGTGACCATTCTGTGCCCTACTGCCCTGGTTCCTTCCTGCCTATCGCCCCTTGCCAGCACCAGTGCCCCAACCATCTGGACGGGACAGTATGTGCAGATGACATGATAATATACATAGAAAACCCCTAAGACTCCATTAAAATCTATTAGAAATAATAAATAAGGTGGCAGTTTACACAATTTATATACAAAAATCTGTTGCATTTCTATAAGCAAATAATAAAGTAGCAGCAAGAGAAATCAGGAAAACAAGGCCATTTATAACTATCAAAAAGAACTAGATATCTTGAAATACATTTAATCAAAGAAGTGAAAGAACTGTACAGCAAAAATTAGAAGACAGTGTTGAAAGAAACAGAAGACACAAAGAGATGGAAGAATGAATATTGCTGAAATGAATTGGGAGAATGAATATAGCTCACATGGCGATATTCCTTAGAGCAATATACAAATCCAGTGCAATCCCTAGCCAAACCTCATTGTTTTTCTTCTCAAGAATGGAACAAACTATCATAACAGTTATTAGGAACTACAGAAGATCGTGAACAGCAAAAAACTCTCCTGAGAAAAAAGAACACAAAAGGAGGCATCACGCTCCCTGACTTCAAACTCTACTACAAAGTGATAGTAATCAAAACAGCTGAGTATTGGAACAAAAACAGGGACACAAATCAATGGAACATTATTAAGAGGCCAAAAATAAAACCGTACACAAATGGTCAACTAATTTACAACAAAGGAGCCAAGATCTTATAGTGGAGCAAAGTAACTTCTTCAATACATGGTATTGGGAAAATGGGACA